CGCGCCAGCAGGGCTCTCACCAAGTTCACGTTCTGGTTCACCACGGCTATGTGCAGGGCAGTCTGGCCTGGCCCGAGAGACCCTGGTCAGGGGCCTGTCCCCCATTGTCTCAGGGACACGACATCCCCCTGGCTGGCAGGAGGGGTTCCTGTGAGACCCATGAGTAGGATTCTGCCCTGGGCCCAGCAGCATGGGCTCAGTGGCCCCTCAGGCTGTCTGCTTCCTCTTGACTGGGGGTCAGGGGATGTATATGTGGGTGCTCTAGGGTCACTGAGCAGGAAATCGACTTGTTTCTTCAGCCAGTATGGAAGGGTTGGGAAGGAAATAATACATGACTCGTGGACCGCACGAAAGCTAAAAACCAAAGCCAGACTCAGCATCGCCAGGGAGCCCTTCCCCGGCCGCCTCCGCGGGCCCTTGGAGAGGAGTCGGCCCTCCCGCACCGCCCTACCTGCCGACCGGGCAGGCGCCTCACCTACGAAAGGCTCGCGCGTGGTGGGCTCCTTGACCAGCTGCGGGGCCGCGTCCATCAGCACCTGCGCGGCCTCCAGGTTGTCGTAGAGCGCGGCGACGTGCAGGGCCGTCTCCCCCAGCGCCCCTGGAGCGGAGGAGATGGGCGTCAGCTCTTCCCAGCGTCCCTGCAGAGGCAGCGAGCAAACGCCCTGGGGGTCTGGGCCGCAGGCCAGTGATCCTGCCTTAGTCCCAGGGTCGCGCTCAGCCCACCTCTCTGTCCAAAGTCGCAGGTGCGGTCTAGCAGAAGTTTCTTCAGGACACCCAGGTCGTTTTCCTTGGCTGCGCAGAGCAAGGGAGACTCTCGAATGCTGGGAGGACAGGAGCGGGTGAGACAGGGTGTCAGGGAGGCCGCGGGCAGCGGCGGGAGCGTGCCCTGGCCAGGACAGACACGAGTGCCCGTGTGCTCGGCAAGCGCCGTCGCCTGAGGGGAGGCCGTCAGGCCTGGTCGGACCAGCCTCTGTGAGCCGTGTTTCAGGAACCTGAGGAGTTGGGCAGATGGAGAGAAGACTGCCCAGATTTTCATCCCCGCAGGCCGGCTGAACCGGCTCTTTAGCCGAGGGGAATTTGGGGACAGACCACGGCTGCTCAGATGGAGCCTTGTGGCGTGACTGGGCTTAACTTGGGACTCTGGACTGCTGAGATATGCAGCCTCTGGTGCACGGCTCTGCTTTCTCTGGGACCCGAGCCCTGTGAGCAGGGGAACATCCCTCCTACTTGAGCTCCTCTATGGGTTCATATTTGTACCGCAGACCCCAACCTGGGTGAACCCAAGGAAAGTTTCATTGAAAGAATGAAAGCTCTGCCCTCTAGGGAAGGGGTCCCAGGCGAGGCCCGCAGTGGGGAACCTTGGCACCCCAGCCCCCAGCCCAGGCGGGCTCTCGCTCTCACCCCCCCTCCAGGCCTTAGTGCCATCCTAAGACTGGGAGGGATGTGGGAGGCAAAGGTCTCCCTGCGGGGCCTGGGGTGGGGGTGGTAAGGCAGCCAGCGTCCTTCCAGAAGGAAGACTCATTCTGCACCCAAGTGGCCTACACAATCGTGGGGGCCCAGTGCAAAGTGAAAACGCGGGGCCCCTCGTTCAAACCGATTGCTCCCGAGCTACTAAGACTTCCCACGTGAGGACAGCAGCCGTGACACCAAGCGCACGAAGCCGGGGCCCCGCAGCCTTGGGGGTCAGCTGTGACATGATGCTCTTGGGTGTCACTGCAGTGGACAGCGGCACCTGTGGGCGGGCTGGGCCTTCTCCAGCTGGGGCCTCCTTCCTCGCACTCCCTGTACACAGGGCTCACTGGACAGCGGATGGATGACCTGAAGTGAGGACTTCCCAGAGTTCCCGGGCTTCCCTTCAGGTGTCACCCCGAACCGAGCTCTGCTCCCCGCTACCAGTCAGCTTCTTCTTGTGCTAAGGGTGCTTCCTCTTTCTTCCACCAACAGCTGCTACATCCCACAGGACTTCATTCCTTTCCCAGCAACTTGCTCCCCACTGTCTCGGCCCCCAAATCCCTGGCTTCTCCCTGGCCCCTCTCCCACCAGGCAGACAGGTGAGAGCCTCGGTACCCTTCTGTGCCTGGCCCCCATTTCCAACCAGAGCTCCTGGGGGTTTGTAACCCTCCAGTTGGGAGGGCTAGGAGGGTCCCTTCCAGTGCCAGGCGCCAGATTCTGGGTGCCAAGAAGGTGCGGACCAGGCGGGGTGCCGTGAGACCGGGCCTTACCTCTTCTGCTGCAGCATGTGGACCTCGTCCAGGCGCTGGTCCCAGTCTCTGGCCAGCCAGGAGCTCAGCAGTCTCTGGAGCTGCAGCCAGGGCCCCTTGGCCTTGCATGGAGGAGCCCCCATGCCGGCTCCTTCCAGGCAACGCAGGTTATGGAATGTGGTGAAAGGAGCAGGTCCAGGGCTCGGAGCAGAGGGAGGGCGGGGTCTGTTTGCGTCCAGCTGAGAGTGAGAGTATCTCCGTGTGACCTGTGTGCAGCGTGCAGCCTGTCGCTGTGGGGTGTGTGGGGGTGGGGTAGGGGCATGTGTGCACCTGAGTGTGTGCTGGGGGGCGCGTGCGTGCCCAGAGGGGACTGCTGCCTGCCAGGACAGCGGCAGGCACTTACCTCAGAGGGAGGAGCTCTTTCTAGGGTCTCAGTCCCACCTGCAGCCTGCCCTAGAGCCTGAGGAGAGGGGAGGGGACTGGACTGTGCGGGCAGTGGGGGAGGGTGGGGCAGGAGGACCTGGGGGAGGGGCGAACACAGAACTTGGAAGGTGTCCCACAAACAAGGTGAGGGGGTCGTGGGATGCAGGAGAGCAAGGGGAGCCCCCCTCTTGCTTTGCAGTCAGGGAGGTGATGCAGGGACTAATTGTCACTGCTTACTTAGCAAAGGAGGCGTCTGTTCCCCCAAAGGCTCACGACTGCTGAGTCTCCTTCCCGGGCTCCGAACGCCCCATCCCAGCCGCTTCTCTGAGTGGTGGCCAGCTCTGTCCACCCCGCAGCCCTGCCTAAGAGGGGGCGCCAGGCCCCTCTCCTCAGAGATCCCCACTGATTCCTCTTCCCTGCAGCCCCCGACAAAGGAGACCCCAGGAACCCCGTTTCTTCACAGAGGGTGGAGCCACCGGCCCAAGCTGGAGCACTCGGAAAGCGGCTGCGTTTTCCCCTGGGAAGGAGCCAGCAGGAAGAAGGGCGGAAGCGAAGGCCGCCCGGGGCCTGGCGTTGTTTTATTCTCTGACAGTTTCCGTTTATCTTCCTGACTGTCCAACAGACACCTGAGTGAGTCTCCGTCCTTCCAAAGACAGGCAGGGCCGATGGAGGAGGGTGAGGGCATCCGCTTTCTGCAGAAGGCAGGGGAGAGGGGGATGGCCATGGCGGGCGGCAAGCTGGAACCGGCTCCTGAGGAGAAACTCAGCTCCAACCACGTGACAGACTGTTATTTCTTGGAAACTTCTAAGGCTTGAGATGCTGAGGTCTGGCCCTGTGGGAGGGGGCTTCCAGAGGCAGGGGCCCTCCCTCTTTTGCTGCGAAGCGGGGTTCCTCAGGGATGAAGATGGCCCAAACCACCTTTGGGGAAGGCCAGGACTGCTGCGCCCTGCTCTCCCGGCTCTGGGGAGATGGGGTTGGGCCATGGGAGGGTCACCTTGGGGGACATGTTTCTGCTTTGCTGGAGGTTGGGGCTGTGTGGGGTGGTAATGGCCTCTGAAGGCCTGGGACTTCCAGCCTGAGGAGATGGAGGGCCCGATAAGGTTGAGGTGGGGGTTGTAGATGAGTTGATAAGCGCAGCAAGGAAAAGAGGCCTGGGAGGAAACACTTAGCCCGTGAAGCAAATCCTGTGGGGTGGGGCGGGAGGGGCCGCGGGAGCCTGGTCAGAGCCGCACGCAGGGGGGCGGGGGGGGCCGGCCAGCCGGGCCTGGGCCTCGGGTCTCTGCCCTCGGTGTCCTCCGGCGGAAGGGGCAAGCTCGAGGAGCCTGCGGGGGACGCGTTGGGCCACTGTCCCTGAGAAGCTCCTCCCGGACGCCTTCCCAGGAGCCCCCCTTCTCTCCCCGGGCTGCCTCCACGGCTCCTTTGCCTTGGTGACGTTCCGGTGCATCCCCCACGACTGCTTTCCCTTCTCCTCAGCCCCAGGCCAGCGTCCTGGGGCCAGCGGCCTGTCCCGGGGAGCAGGGTCCACGAGCGCCCGGCCCTGGCAGTGTCTCCGGTGCCCTCACGCCACCGGGAGTCGCCGCCAGACCCGCCTGTCTGATCTGATAAGGAGGAAGCGGCCGCCCTGCCTCTCCTCCTTGAGGGGTTGAGGGCTGCACTGCCCCACCACCCGGGAAAGGACCGGGAGGTACCCCCAACGCGTGGCGGTTATCGCTGGGTGCTGGGATTCATAGCCCTTTTGATTTTTGTGCTTTCCTAAATGTGACGCTGTCAGAGCAAGACCAAGGACGACACGGGGCTTCCTGGGATCGCAGCGGGACTGATCTCAGCACGGGGGCGGGCGGGCGGGCGAGCGGAGAGGGCTCGGATGTGCCGGTGGTCGGTACAGCCCAGTTCTCTCCGCTCCAGCCTGCCCCTGGAGGACACGCCCTCCCAGCACCCCCCACCCCCTACTCTCGTTACTCAGAGAGTGGCGATGGAGCCAAAGGTTCCTCCCCCAAGTCAGCCTGGAGATGAGGGTTTTTTCCCCTACCCAAGCCTCATCTTGGACCTGCAGGTCAGTGAGTACAAGGTAGGGGTGAGCGGGGTCACCTGTCTACCTGACCCTTTCCTCCTCCCTCACCACCCACTGACCTTCTGGGCTACTCCCCAGTCACCTTCTGGCTTGGCTCAGATTCCCAGGCTGTCGCCTACCAGATGGCCTCTGGGTCACCTGGCCTGCCAGCCTGGGCGAGGTCCGTGGGAGAGACCCTCCCCACCACCTCCATTTCTGCAAGCCCCTCATTCCAGAAGGACTCTTGCCATTGCCCTACACGGCACGGTCCACCCACTGTGCCAACTGTGGGTGCCAGGGAAGGAGGGCGCTGCTCGAGACCTCAGCTGTCCTCCCTTCCCAGGGCCTGCGCTCGCCTGTGGCTGGCATTGTGCGCCTGGCTTTCCAGGGCCAGCCTGTCCCCACACTCCGTAACAGCTCCAGGAAGGATGACAATTAGCCACAGCCCATTAGTGCCAACAGGTCTGGGCTCACGGGTTCATGGGCAGGGCGGGCTTCTGGGCATCAAGGCAGGTTTCTCGAGATTGTTCTGGGACCCTGACCTTGTTGCCATGTGCGATTCTCCAAAGACTCCCCAGCAGGGAGTCTGGATAATGAGCCTTGAATAATTCTGCCTGTATCTTAGAGTCCACGAGGACATAAAATGAGAGAGTGTTTCAGTCAGTCCATCAGTACAGAGGCCAACACCTGGGGAACAGGAAAGTCGGAGGAGCACGAGGACCGAGACATGGTTTCTCGGCGGTGCCCCGTGTCCTGCTCGGTCTCCCCGCCCTGTCTCTGTCACGCACGGCGTGGACCCTGTGCTCACCTTCCAGATGAGCTGTCTCCTCCACCCCCACGTCCCATGCGGACCTGCATTTCATGCCCGGCCCAGCACACCTTCCTTGGAGAAAGGCCGCGTGGGAGAGGGAGAAGATGCTCGCATGGGGACCGGGAGCTAATCAGGGCCTGCTCTGTCCCTCTCTCCCTGGCTGACCATGGGGGGGCTCCTCTCCTTGGGCATCTCGGTGTCTCATCTGTGCAGTGGGTGTGGACATGACACCCCGTCCCGGGGGCACTGTGGGTCTACTGATGTACTGGAAGTACAAGTCCTTTACAGGCGCGTTAGCCACTTTCATGAAGCTCCTCTTGGCTTCTCCAGGAAGCGCCATCCGTCCTCGCCGGCCCCCCTCTGCCCGCGTGCCTGGCCATGGAGCTCTCTGGTGAGCTGGAATGAGGGCCTGGCCCGTGGCTGTGATGTCACAGAGCTCCTGAAGTCAGAGGAAGGGAAGAAAACAGCGCTGGGCTGGGGGAAGGGCTGGGACAGGGCCAGGAGGGAGGTGAAGTGCGGAGCCTGCTGGGCGCAGAAAACAGGGAGGCCAAAGACGGTGAATGGGCAGGCCCATGACTTCCCTCGGTGCCCGGCTCTGCCGGGCAGCCTTCTTGGCGGCCATCTTGCTACTGCTGAGGACGAAGGGGGTAAAACCTCCGGAGAGAGGCTCAGACCCCAATGAGAAAAGTCAGAAAGAAAAAATAGCCTCCATAGGTAGGCAGACAGACGGGGACTGGGCTGGGGCTCGGGATCAGACCTCCGTGGCCAGGGGCCTGGCCGGGCCAGGGCGAAATGTGGCGTGGGTACAGGGGTGTGGCAGAGATCCCAGGCCCCCCTGTGGTGTGAGACTGTGGCGTGAAGGTGCCATGTACAGGGGTCTGGGGCAGGGGCTGCGAGCCAGGGGCGGCCTGGGGGACCCATCTTCACCAAGCTGACAATGCCGGGCTGGCTTTCTTGGGTTGGGGCAGAGGAGGGCCTTTGGTTTTATCGTTCTCTGCGGCGGTCCCTTGCGTCACCTGGTCCACAGGGGAGGCGGCAGTGGAGCTGGAAATGGGGGTGTGTACTTGAGTTGGGGCCGTGAAAGGTCATCAGAAGAGACCTCGGGTGGATCCTCACCGCTGTCCAGCACCTCCAGCCGACAACAAGTGTGGGGGGGTCACCGCCCCGAGCGCCCCAGTTCTCTCTTGCCCCCTTCCCAGTCAGGCCGAGGGCGGGTTGGGTGTGGCCAAGGTGGTGCCTTCAGCCCTTCCACTCTCCTTGCCCCAGACCAGGACCAGGAGCCAGAGCAGGATTCGGATCCGGAGCCGGAGCAGGATTCGGACCCAGAGCCGGAGCAGGATTCGGAACAGGAGCTGGAGCAGGATTCGGAACAGGAGGCGGAGTCCGAGCAGGACCCGGGGCACAAGCAGGTGCTGGAGCTGGGGCTGGAGCAGGGGCAGGAGCCGGAGCAGAAGGAGGAGCAGGAGCTGGGGCTGAAGGAGGAGCAGGACCAGTATGACGAGCAGTTCGTGGCGTCCTCCACGGGCGAGCAGTGGGAGCAGGTGGACATGGCCCAGCAGGAGGCGTCCGAGACAGCAGCTGTCCGCGACCACCTGTTTGACCTCGCCTTCTGTTTTAATCTGGCCAGCATCCTGGTTTTTTTATGAGGGGCGTGGAAGCTGAGGTGGTGGCCTGGCTCCTGGATGAGGACCTGGATGTCTACCTCCGCTTCATGATCGCGTACTGACCCTCCCCCACAGCTCCGGGCCTCCCCTCCCCAGGGAGTGCAGACCTGGCTTCCTGCGCCCACCGGGGCCCTTCCCTGCAGCCCACAGCCTTCCAGAAGGCCTGGCCTGGCCAGTCACCTGCGCCTGGCAACCTCCCCAGCTCTGAGCGCCATCTCCCAGGTCAGGGACACCAGGCCCTCGGCCTGCTCCCTCCTGGCCTTTCCTGGCTTTGTTCAGGTCAGCAGATTAGGGGGAGGAGGCAGCAACAATAAAAGTAATAGCAATAAAATCTGAGGACAATTGGGGGCAGCTCTCAGAGCCGAAGCCGGAGTCCTTTCTAACGCCTCTGTTTAACCGCCAGGCCTTAGCCCCACTGACCTTTGGACCCACCGGCTCCTTCCTCTTCTGAGCCAGGGGCACTCTCCGGCTATTCCTTTTCTCACTTCCAGGCACTGAACTCAGCAGCCGAGTTTAGTAAGACACAGGCAGAAGCCAAGTGCCAGCTTTTATTTTCAGAGTGGGAAGGAGAAGGGGGGTGACATCACCCCGCTTCGCGAACGGGCAGGCAGGCGGTGATACCTCTTCCAGTCCTCTCTGGCAGCCGTCACCAGAGTTGGCAGCGGTTAGAGGGGTTCAGGGGAGTGCCGTGGGGGCAGCGGAAATGTCTGGCGAAGGCTGGGGTGTTGCTGAGGGGCCCGTGGACCCGAAGGGCGGGAGGGTTGTGGGTGTCCAGGGCAGCCCGGCTGCCCAGCGCCTGACACATCACCTGGGGGAGAGGCACCGGGTAAGGAGAGCCCCGAGAGTGGACGGGTCGGCATGCCGAGGCGGGCCTGGGGCTGGGTGGGGACGAGGGACAGCAGACAGAGATGGGCGTGGGGAGGAATGTTCCAAGGCCGTGCGCAGAGGGCAGCGGGTCTGCTCGCGCAGATCACTGATGAGGAGCGGATGTCTGGGGCCGTGGGGGTGCGTGGGGGGGTCGTGTGGTCACGCCATTTTAAGTGACTCAGAAGCAGGGTCCCGCTGGAAGCACTCTGTGAGGAGGCTCCTTAGAGGAATTGGGGGTGTCTGTTGAGGGAGCACATCCACCTATGGGGACTGTGTCAAGTGGGGCCACGCCTGGGGGGAGGCCTCTGAACAGGAATGTGTCTCGAGACAGGCTGTGAAGCTTGTTGTTAAGGGGTGGCATTCCCAGGGAAAGAGATGAGAGGAGAAAAAGAGGGGCAGGGCGGACAGGGGGCCTGTCCCGGGCAGGCTGGGGTTGCAGGTGGCTTCTGTGCCAGTGCAGAGGGGCCCTTGCTCGGGGGCTGGAGGGCCGGAGTGATTCCTTGCAAGGGGAGCTGACGGCAGAAGGAAGTATGGTCCTATGGGAGGACTGTCCCTGAGGGCGTGTGTGGGGGCACTGGGGATGTCTGTGCAGAGGGCGGGGGGCCCAGGGGAAGGTGTGTCGGGGGCAGAGTCCTTGAGCACTAACCCAACATGGAGCCGTGGAGTGGGGTCGCCTACCTGGGCGTAGCTGTGGAAAAAGAGCTGCTGGGGCCGGAGGCCCAGGTCGGGCAGGGTGGTCTCCCCGCGGGGCCCATGCAGTCGCTGGCTGTAGGCCTGGGGAGGGGGGGGGGGGGCTGAGGAGCCAGGGCGGCGCCCCTGGGCAGCCGAGGCCCCACGGACAGCGCCAAGCAGACGTGGCCGTTTGTCCCCAGGTCTGCCTGGCACGCGGGGCCGGGAGAGCATGTACTTGCCAGAGACCCTCAGCGGCCCTAGGAAAGAGGGGCCTGGGAGGAGGAGGGGAGCCCCACTGCTGGGTACAAAGGCAGAAAGCTGGCACCTGTGTCTGCTCGAGGGATGGAGACATCAGGGCCAGGGAGTCCGGCCCGCTGGGACAGTCAGATCCTGGCCCCGGGGTGAGCTACCTGCTGCGCGATGGCCAGGGCCCCCACATCCGCCGCGCTCTCCAGGAAGGTGCCGGAGAAGGTTCCGCCGGGCAGTGGGAAGGCTGCATAGAGACGCTCCAGGCACAGCCGCGCCCCTTGCAGGGCTTGGGAGTCACAGGAGGGGCAGCCCCCCGGCAGCACTGTGGAAAAGGGGGTGAGGGAACCAGAAAGTGATGCCGGTGCTGGGTAAGGACCGGGGGTGCCTTCTGCATTGGCTCCCAGGAGCTTGGCAGAAGTGCCACGGCCACCCGCCCCCAAAGCCTTCAAATAACCTCCACCCCCCGGCTAGCTTCAGGCCTCCGCCCGGTCCCCAAGGCCCCCCGTCCTGATGCCCACTGTTACCCACAGAGCGGGGAGAAGACACGCAGCAGCTCGCGGGCCATGATGCTGCCGGCAGCGCCGAAGTTCACGGCTCTAGAGACAAGGGCTGGGCTGAACCCGGGGCCCCGCCAAGTCCCCAGCGCTCCAGAGAGGGTCATCACTCTGGGGAACGCTGCCCACCCTCACAGAGCACCCATACCTGGGGAAGCTGGGGTGGAAGAACGGGGGCTGCAGGAGTCCGGCTGGCAAGACCACCGCGTGGTCAGCTACCGAGTAGTAGGCGCTGGCCTCCCAGGGGGACACCTGCCAGCTGCGGGCGGAGCACAGGCGGACATCAGCCCCTCAGCCGGGTCCCCACAGACTCAGCAGCCCCTCCCGAGACCTGTCACTGCGCCCCGCTCCCGCACCCCATGTCCCCTCTCTGGGCTACAGTGTCCACCCCCGGCTCTCACACCTGCGGTGGGAAGGCTGCAGAAAGCTCCGGACATTTCTAGCTCGGAGGGATCGGGCGCAGCTCAGGAAGGACCGCAGGAAGTTGGGCCCAAGTTGTATCTGGGAGGAGGCAGGGGGTGACTCGGGAACACAGAGACGACTTCCCGGGAGGGGGCGCAGGCACCCCCCAGAAGACCGTGACACAGACTCTCCGGTGCCGTGGACACCAGCACCGGCCGCCACCAGCGGCCCAGGCGCACAGCCTCAGGCGAGTCAAAGGAGGCAGGAGTGTTTGTGGCCAGTAAGGCCCCCCGTCTTCCCGCAGGAAGACCCTCGGGGTGGACCTGCTCCCCGGAAGCCCCAGAGGCAGGGCAAGGAAGGGTGGCGGCTGCCACCAAGGAAGGGCGCACGACCTCCCGCACTCTGGGGTTGTGGTGGAGGAGAAGAAGGGGAGCACGGAGGAGGAGCTGGCAGGGCAGGGACCCACATCTGCGTATTCCTGTCTGGCCTGCTCGGGCTTCAGGGCCCACTCCGGGGCCCCCATCTTCACCTGCAGTCGGGACGCCTGGGGAGAGAGACAGAACGTGGAAGGAGACCAGCCTCCCAGCCTAGGGAGCTTCTCTGCTGTGCGCGGCCTTTCTGGGGGTGCTCACTGGCTCTGTGCGCAGGGGCCTCCCCCCGGCGGGGACCTCTCCTGCTGGCCCTCGCCCCACCCCCCACCCCTGCACCGGCCCTTGGCCTTACCCTGTCCTGGGCCTGTTTCTGGGTCTGCTCATCCATCCAGGGCACTCTTCTGAGGCGAGTGACGAAAGCGTCCTTGATGGCTGCAAATAATTCCATGGCCTGTGGGTGGGAGGGTGCAGAGGGCCTTAGGGTCAACCTCGGTCTTGGATCCTATCCAGGGGGCCTCTGAGAAGAGATCTTCACCAGGGACCAGGGAAGATCTCAGAGAGGGAGAACATGCAAAGTGCTAATCCGAGGTGACCGAAGTCTCTGAGGCCCAAGGCTGCTTGGAGTCAGGAAGGAGGTGCCAGGGCGGACAGGGAGGGTGTTCCGGGCACCCCCATGTGTGCATGCACACGGGTGGCTGCTCCTCCCCGGGATTCTCAGCCAGTGGGGAGGCAGGGTCCATTCCCTCTGGGCCAGGAGGCTGGCTCAGCGGCGAGCAGCCGCCATCTTCCCTTCTCTGCTCCCCACCCTGTGCTCACCACTCAAGGCACATGCCCATCTTGGGGTGGCGGGGGCGGGGCATCAGCTTCCAACAAGCTGAGGTCTCCCCAGCTTTGACTGTGTGGTTGTAAGTTCCCAGCCTCTACCGTCTTTGTCTGAATACTTTTTATTTTTTGAAAGATTTATTTATGTGGGTCCTCCCTGGTGGTGCAGAGGGTTAAAGC